ATCTCCTCTGTTCGCATTTAGTTCTAGTAATGGTCAATTTCGACTGGTCAGGTTTAACTAGAAGTGAAAATTGGATTACCCGGAGAAATGCCGCGGCCTTTGGCAGAGTCAAACATTCTTCCAACATATGACTATAAGGCAAAACTATAACGAAGTCAAATACGTAGAGCGTTGCTGGACCCAGACCAGGGCGCACATTCCAAAAACGCGTCCCTTTCAATAATGAACTAAGCGTGCAACATATATAGTCTATCTGACGTTAAAGCTTAATTCTGGCCTCAATCGTTAAATGTTTAATATCAGAACCGCGATATCCAAGCAATGTTTGCAGTATACATGATTGGATATACCAAAATCTGATTACGAAAATAAGCGAATAGCAACATAGTAAAATAGATAATATAATAATCAGACAAAATAGTCAATATAAACTTGTCAATTTAAAATAGTCAATATTAAAACCCGGCAGAAATAACTATATATAACCAGACACAGTATACTAAAATGCGGTGCCCAACAAATAAAACTTCCGGCGTTTGCGCCTATGGACTGTCGACAAGTAAAGTTATATTATAAACTTATATCATTTAGTACGCTACATTCTCTTGTCGCCGCCAATGAATTGGTCCGTATATGCGGGTATTAAAACGATTTCAAAACCTTTAAAATAAAATATTTGGGGCTCAAAATTCTTAATACTATCAAAATAAAGAGAAATGTGAGACAAATCCACTGGTATACGGTCGAAAACGAAGAAACCAACGATGCCAAGTTAGCAAGGTCAAACGTACTGCATTTTTGATTAGTTTAATAATTTTGCGCGATTTGTCAACAAATGACAACAATACAAATTTGCTTATTAAAACTGCTCTTTATAACCTTCAAAATATAATATTTTGGACTCAAAATACTATCAAAATGAACAGAAAAGTGAGACGAATCCACAGGTACACGGCCGAAAACGAGGAAACCAACCATACCAAAGTTAGCAAGGATTAAACGTGCCGCATTTTTATAATCAGTTCAATAAATTTGCAGCGATTTGTCAACAATACAATTTCGCTTGAATTTCAAAAGCCACAAATCGCTAAAATAATGTTGTTTAGTAATACATTTGACATCCGTAAGTACAATTGTTTTCGCTGAATCGAACAGTGGTATTTTGGTCCTTAATGGAAGCATATTACCAGAGATAAAGCGCGGCAAAAAGTCAATCGTCACCGCAATATCAACTCCAGACATGGAAATTCACGTCCAATCACCAAACATTCTAAACCGGTCTGACCGGTTCGACAGGTTCCAGGCACGCAAAGCAGGCTGGAGGAAAACAAAACAAATAGCTGATTCTGTGGTTGATGGCAAAGACTCACAAATATTCCTACGGAGTATCCGTGAGTCAAAAAGAGATAAGAAACATGTGACCCAAGCGGACGTGACCTGTTTGAAATTCGTGATGTAAACTTCTGAAATGTAAACTTACTAAATATTGAATACTCGTAATTTCCCTTTACATGGTTTGAAACAGGTGCATTGTCTTATAATGTTTTATGTACTGTTTAAAACACAGCAGCCGAGCGTTTTATGTCTGATAAAACACGACAACGAGTGTTTTGAATAGCTTAAAATACGACTACAAAAGGATAGTAATTAGGATGGACCATTATATAATCATACTAATTAGGATGAACAATTATATAATGCCTCGTACTTTATCAGGGCCGCCGAGATGAATTATTAATGAGTATTTTAAATACTGTTTAGCTCATATATAGACCTTTACCGATTCCAGAAGCTTTGTATATAATATACTGCAGACGCACATGATCCAACTCCGACGCAATTTATAAAGCATTCTAGCTCGTGTTCTGCTTGTTTTTTCCCAATTATATGATTTCGGTGGCGTCGTGGGTCCCATGTTTTTCTTGGAGGGGGGGGGGGGGCATGGGCAGTACTTTTCCGACAAACGAAAGAATTTTTCCGACAAACCAAAAAATTTTCCTGACGACCATATTTTAAATGTCCCCCCGTCGACAACTTTGACAATTTCCGACAATATTGACAGTTTTTCGACGGGTCTCAACAATAGGGGGCATGGCCCCCCGCGGCCCTCCCCCGCCCACGGCGCCACTGCATGATTCGCTAAGTAATCTTGTACCTTCCTGCGGAAGACGGCTTGATTAATCAAGCATTTCGTTTGGTTTTGCTTTTTTCAAGATGAACTGATTAATGCACAAACGTTTGACAAAACCCTCAAGACAAGCAAAGGTGTACGACCCTTTTTTAGCGCCAAGTCGGCTACAATCTATTCTGCTAGTCATTTAAACGAAACAAAGCTTGCTTAATCGAGCATTCCCCTTGTGATATTTTTGAGATTAGGGAAATTGACGCCCAAATGCTCAATAAGACAGCCATTATATAAGACCGATGATTAGGCTTTGGGCATTGCTAGTTTATTATCGGCCATTTTGAGCTGCAAGTTTAAGTGCCTGCTCCTCAAGCAAGAATCCCACCCATTTTTTTTCTTCACAATAAAGTACACACTGGTCAGTAGGTGACCATGGGGTTCAATTTCCTGCAAAATTCAGATGTCTGAGCAGAAATCCCCCTTGCTGGATCTTCACCATGCACGGTGTCGAAGAAATTAATTTTGCCTCAAGCTTATATGCTGAATAAATATGATCATAAACTGTTTCATTCCTCAAAAAATCGATTTTCATTTAATTAAATAAAAGGTGGTCTAATCCAATAATATTAATTCTTTCCTCTAATTTATGTCAACAGGAAATGATCCCACACACATGCATGCATATCGATGAAGTTGATGAACGGTATGCTTCTTGATGGAAAATGCATTAGAAATGTAATATAAACCCAAATAATCGGACTAGTAGGCTAGTATGTCCGACCACCGTATAATGACATAAATTGCAGATCTATTCTTGAAAATTCAAGCAATACAGTATCCATTTGTATCTGAGTTAAGCTCCCAAAACACTGCAAAATGTCTTTCCCGAAAAATCTTTTCAACTTTGTACATTTTTATAACAATGCTTAGCATAATTAATAATATACAGTACTCGGGAGGTGGATGATGCTTTTTACGCAATTTGATTGGTTGCTCAGTTCCGGAAGTTCTTGCACAATTTAATTCCAGACAAAAACAAAATGGTGTCCCTTTCGTTCCGGTTAGACACACAACCAAATTGTTGTTCTAAAATAACTTAACGAAGCTTGCCAAACACGACTCTCAGACCAAAAATAATCCCATTGTAAAAATATATAATATGAATTGTAACGACTTAGCTGTTGTGACTCCTACTATACTCCTTTCTCCCAGGGTAAACCTTTTTCTTCGGCTGTGACTTCCTTCGCTCCTCTTTCTTGCATGCTACTGCGATGGCCACGTTTTGTAACATGCTTCATCTCTACATCTAATGTCTTACAAAATAAAACCTGCAAACAAAACATTCAAAACCATTAAGAATTAGCATTCGATCTAGTTGGCCCATCCACAACACTGTAACATTTATTCAAAGTCACCTGTTGATTAAATTAAAACGAAATTCAGAAATGATCGAATCCAAAGCTACTAACTTTCGATCTACTTTTGCCAAAATACTGACGCCAATTAATATAATTCCTCAACTCTAGTAAATGGCGACTTAATCCACATACCAACAAGTCACAAACTTTTCGGCGGATACCGCGTTCACCATTTTGCTTCAAAGCCCATTTCGTATTATATGCAGTGTTTGTTCGCTTCTGCAAGCAAACACCTTTCTTCGTATGCAGTTTTTACCGCACGAAAACGTTGGAATGCCCATGTTTGTTACAACCAAGTTAACTTAAAACTGCAACTACAGTGTGTATAAAAAAAACTGAACCCTTTCAAATTCAAATTAGCTATAACGTATTGTAGTAATTTGACAGCTCTAATTGCTTTAAATTAATGGTTGGATAAGATTAAAACACTATAGGTCTTGTACTCATGGGACAAAACTCAAAGAAATAAAAATTAGAAAATTTAAAAGAAATACAGTATTCCTTGAGTTCTTACCCAACCATTAATTCAAGGCAATTAGAGCTGTCAAATTACTACAATACGTTATAGCCAATTTGAATTTGAAATGGTTCAGTTTTTTCATACACCGTACCCTGTAGAGTGCAGTAATCAACGTTGCATACCTTAGAAATTCAAATTAAATCATTGGTAGCGTACCAATGGGACTGTCAACATGTTACATAATTAGTCATTATACAGGGTGCCCCCCCCCCCCAAAAAAACAAAAACCGAAAACTATTGAAATCACTTATTGCTAAAATTTGAATGCCCTACCAAAAAGCTGAACGTAATGATGCGTAAAATATTGACAAGGTGCATCTATTAAAATTTAGTTAAGAACATCTCCTTGTAAAGTGCGCGATTTTCTGGGTGTCTCCCAAAAAACGAAAACTATTGAAATAACGTATTGTTAGAATTTGAATGCCTCAGCACTCTGATCAGATTACGACACAATTTTTCTAATATAAATATCTCGGCGAGTATTTACCCCCCCCCCCTTTTAAATAAAAGCCACCATTGAAATCCTCATAAAATAACCTTTCGAACGGGGGGTCAAGTGCCGTCAAAACATTACACGAACCGAAACAATCATATATTTACTCACCGCTTGGCCAAAGATTCTAAATTTCATAACCACAAGATCTTGAATACCCCTTGAACTTTTCGACATTAATTTTGCTGAACGGCTATATGTGTAAAATATTCTTTGTATTCAAGCGCTTTCGTGCAGAAAGTTTCGTATGTATACGCCGACTAGAAATATTTATTTTGAAATTTTCAAGATGTCGGGTTTTACTCGCACTTGCGAACATTGCGCAATAATTGGCCAATAAGAAGTCCTGTTGGCTGGTATGACGTCAAACTCACGCGTGTAGGTGCAATTTGACCTTGCGAACCATTTCTGGCCTTTCCAGGGTCATACGATACAAACGTCGCATAGCCTGCGTGGCAGGCCCTCAAGTTTATGGGGGGCCTGATTTGCAGCGGGCAGGATTTTGGCGGGCTCCGGGGGAGGATTAAGGGCCTGCAGGAAAGCCCGTCTTTCATGACTACACGCCGTTCAGATTCTGAACGGTGAATACGATCACCTGATTGGTCAATACCAAGTCAGTGGAAAACCGTAGTATTTGTTGATTTCAATATTGTTGCTATCTAACCTCGATCTAATCTTGAACATCGATCGTGGCTATTTTTTCTTATTCAGCAGCGATACAAATTAAAGATGATTTCACTGGCCAGTCGTCAGGAAATAGCGCAGGATAACTGCAAACAATTAACGTGCATGGATGTAAATACTGATTCTGATGATGTACTATATAAAAGTATTAAGCTCAACATCGACGGTTTGAAAACGCGTGAATGGCGTTCGTCACTATGGTCCAGCCACTTTTCGTTTGTAGGTTTTCGCGTCACAATATTCACATTCGGATGACCTAAAAGCACTTTTAATGATTTAAGCACAGTTAATTTAAGTGACGAACGCCCTTCACACGTTTTTAAGCCGTCGATGTTGAGCTTACTTCGGTACATCATCAGAATCAGTATTTACATCCACGTTGTCTGCAGTACATGTGCTATTTTTGATGACTGGCCAGTGAGATCATATTTTGTATTGCTGCTGAACAAGAACTTTTACGCGCAGATTTCGATTCAGTTCTAGACATACTACCCGGAAAACATCGCGGAGAACAAAGCAATTTGATTCAGTTTGGTTGAATGGACTAGCACCACGGTCAGCGGGTCAGGAATTAACAGTTTACGCATTCCTGATGTTTCTACATCTTTGAGCTGGTAATGGTGTTGAAACTCCTCGTGTAGTACTGTAGTGTATTAACAAAAGATTTTAATTCCGTTACAAGCTCATGCACTTTTAGAATTTTTCTTGAAGCCAACTTTCTCACATATAATCTGAGAGCATAATTCCGAAAGATTGTTTTCTTTGTGATGGTTTTTTATGATGAAACATGAACAATTTTACTAAAACTTCCAAGTTGCTGTTCAATTTAAAACAACATTTACAAAATCTGCAATATTGTATTAAACTGTATTATAATATTGAGTTTAATAATTCGCAATATTGTTTGATTGACATGTTACGTGCAAGCGAATATTTTTAGAAACCAATTAATTGCTGCCTCGTAGAGGCAGCACACTATTCGTGACTACGCGGTGTTTCTCCAGAGTCCACTCGACCCAGTCTTTCACGCGATCTATGTATTGTCGAGATCTCGATCTTGTGTCTGTCTGTATGTAAAGATGTCGTAATCCGGGGGGAATAATTAAGCCTCGAGAACGTTTGTTAAATGAGGGGAGCGGTCAGAAACAAGATTTTGTATTGCGCACGCAACTCCATGTGCTCAAGAATCAAGATTTTACATATTGGTTTCATACAGACTTTTTATACGGATGCAAGTTATCGAAAATTTTCGGAAAAATTCAGGTAAGTATGGCTCTATTTCTTTCTTCTGAAATACATCAAGCCGATGACCTTTTTAGTGTTCAATCTAGAGGCAAACAATGTGCTTTTATGAGTTTATCTGCAATTTTAACTGCTCAAAGTATCCCAGTGATCGATTGGTCGAAAACAACATTGAATAATGTCTTATTACAAGGAGACAAAATGTATTTGCAAGCTGTGGATAATGGCTTTGTTGTCTTAGAACCTGGTGTCGAATTCCTATCTGTAGATAACTTACCTAAAATTGTCAGTGTTTCAAGTTGTACGAACATGTTTTCTTACGAGATATGCGATTCTGTCATCGACACAAGTAATATATCATCTGTAGTGCATGCGAAAACAACTACAACACCTATGAATCCCTTTGATACACAAATTAACGTTGAACTACCCATGGTGGTAGGACAAAACAGTAAAAGTGTACCCATGGTGGTACAACAAAATCATGACAGTCCACCTATGATGGTAGGACAAAACAGTAACAGTCTACCCGTGGTGGTAAGACAAAATAATAACAGTCCACCTGTGATGGTAGGACAAAACAGTAACAGTCTACCCGTGGTGGTAAGACAAAATAATAACAGTCCACCTGTGATGGTAGGACAAAACAGTAACAGTCTACCCGTGGTGGTACGACAAAATAATAACAGTCCACCCATTGTGCTAGAGCTCGTTGAGGCACAAAATAACATTGAACTACCCATTGTGGTAGAGCCTGTTGAGGCAAAAAGTATCACTGATCTGCCCATTGTGGCAAGGGGTAACACTGATCTATCTATTGGTGTAAAGCACAATTCTGTGGTGCCTAATGAGGAAAACAATAAAAACCAAATTTGGTTTATAAATTATGGAAAAGAGCTTCAAGGTCTTGTTATAACCAACCGAGAAATTGAGTCACACTACTATGACATTCACACAGCACTTTTGAATGTGTTTTCAAATTATAGTTGTACTATTTTAATATTAGAAGGCTATATGATGGCATTGATGAAGCAAGCAGACTTTTTCTATTTATTTGACTCCCATGCCAGAGACTCTAATGGCATGCCTGATCCTAATGGCACTGCTGTTGTCATGAAATTTGCTAATATTCTAGAATTAGAACAATATTTGTATTCTCTTTCAATGTCGTTACATGCCAATTTATTTGAAATTGTACCTGTGAGATTAAATATATGTAAAGCTTCAGAGCAAAAAAGTAAGTGTGTAAAGGATCAAGAGTATGTCCTGAAAAAGAGGCTTTTAATAGAAAATGAAGGTGATAAACAAGCTAGACTGAAGAAAGCTAGTGAGTATAAAAAAAGAAAGCAGTCAGAGGAAACTGACAGTGTGCGGCAAATAAGACTTCAAAAATTAAGTGAGTCTATTAAACAGAAACGTTCAGAGGAAACTGACAGTGAACGGCAAATAAGACTTCAAAAATTAAGTGAGTTTATTAAACAGAAACGTTCAGAGGAAACTGACAGTGAAAAACAAATTAGACTTCAAAAGGATTGTGAGTCTAAAAAAAGAAAGCGGGCAGAGGAAACTGACACCAGCAGACAAGTGAGGCTTGAGAAAGATAGACTTAATAAAAAACAAAAGCGGGCAAAAAAAGTGTCACAGCCTCAACATGAAATATTAAATCAACAGGACTATTTAAACATGTTTGACAGAACCAAAAATGGTGGTATTGAAGAACAATGTTGGGCTAAGGCTAACATTAATAAGTTTAGTAAGTCTGTGCAATACATTGTCAGTCAGTGTACAGAATGTCAGGAGGCATGGCCCTTAAAATCTAAACCAAGGACACCTTATGTGTGTTCACGATGCTTTAGAGATAAAAAATCTCCAAAAAAATTTTCTTGTGAAAATTTAATGATACCTTCATGTGTTCCACATGAACTGCAAAATTTAACACAGATTGAGGAAATGTTGATTGCTCGTGCTTTGCCCATCATGAGAGTTTATATTAACCCTGGTGGTCAACGAGGTTTTTCGGGGCATTGTATTAACCTGCCACAAAATGTCAAAGAACTTGCAATGTCTTTGCCAAGATATCCTAAAGACTTAGCTGTGATTATTGTCAAGGCTAAAGGTAGAGAAAACACATTCAGAGATGTGACTGTGCGAAAGCAAAAAGTGGACAATGCTTTAGTTTGGCTTATCAATAATAATCCTCATTATTCTGAGTTATTAATTAATCAAGATGCATTAAATTCCTTACCTGAAAATGGTGTACCACCAGGTCTCATGACTGTTGAGACTGATGATGATATAGTCTCAGATGACAATTGTTCTCCTGATGTAGGTCCTCCTACTGATAATCCTTCAGAGGATATTGTTTATAATGACTCTACTGAAATGAGTAGTTTTTTACCTGTTGGTGAACAACAACAAACGGAAATTGAAGCTGTTAGAAATCAGCTTTCTGAAAATGAGCCAATGCCATGGCCCTCGGTTGAAAATGAGCCAATAAATGAGTATCAGATATCACATCTGGCCACAATGGCTTTCCCGACATTATTTCCAGATGGGAAAGGTGATCCTACTAATCAAGGACTTCTGAGAGATGTCCCTCTTCAGGAACGAATAAAGCATCTTCTTAAATTTGCTG